CCGTCCCCCCCCCTCAACCGCGGGGAACCGGGGAAACCCGCAGCCTCCGGGGCTGCCAGGCTCGATTTTCCCACCCGGGCTTTATGGGAATATCGATAGAATTAAAAGTTACTTGTAATTCGGTGATAAATGAGATGTCTCGAGTAAGTAAGATTAAGTGCAGCGCGCTATAAAGTTGTTTATCTGAAAAGTAATTCTCAGAAACCTGACTTCTGACACTTGGTCATATATTAAACCAGCTTCTTGAACATTGTACTTCAAATCCTTCCTTCTCCCCTTGCCCGGTCCCTTCCCCTTGCTGGGAGTTTGCTATTTATAACTCTGCCCGGGGTATTACTCGGTAGGTGCGGGCAAGTCGCTGGGTAATTTTTCACCCACTGTGAAAACCATCATTTGCAATAGCCAAAGAATCTCTGCTGAGGAAATAGTACTTGGCTAGTGGATTTTAGGAACGGATAACATCTCCTGACTATGCCATTATCAGCGTGAGTGCCAGCACTCACATCTGAAAGTCATACAGCATGTACTGTTCCTGGCAGCTAAAAAAGGTAGGGCACGCTGCAAATTTAGGAAGATAACTACATCGAGAAGTGATCGGAGAGGCAGCTGGGTAAAGCTAAAAAATGCTGCCGGCACGGCTAACTAAATTAAAATAGAGTTCTGCACGGTTCCGAAAACACACCCGCGCACGCGGAGCCGTGGACATCTGCTAGCCTTATCTTACTGACTGCCATTCATGACAAAGTTAATACAACTTAACTCCTCGGGCTGGCTTTCCTATTCCTTCACGTCATTGGAATCAACAAAACTTCCAGGCTCGCAGCATAAATCCCCCCTGGACAGTCCAATTCCCTCTATCTGTGTGTTTTGGTGTTTTTTTTTTTTTTCCCCCTGAGCAAGATGAATGTGGGACTGTATATCACTTAACATGCTCACCTATGAGAGACATAAAACGCGCGCTAATATTTTTAAATGAAAAGGTTATTGCTTCTCAGAATGTACAATTGCAGTATTTCACTTGCCCGTTTGATAGATGGCTGTGGAAATGTGGCTCCAGCCCCATAAAGCAGTTTGTTTGGACATGAGGATTCAAAGTGCTACATTTGCAAAGGAGTAAATTTCCTGAGTAAACTCTGAACTCTCAGACAAAGAGTATGAAATTGTGTGAGCTAATGGGGGCCAGCTCCTAATTGGTACCAATGTAAGCAAGTGCTGCAAATTAAATGGAAGCTCTGACCTACCAGAACGGCGAGTAAAATTATTAGTTGTACAATATTGTTCTTGTGTGATTGTTGCACAGATCTGCTGCACCAAAATTTCTCTACTGTTCAGCGCAGTAGAGGAAAAAAAAAAGATTATTAGCAATTTTTGGATAACCTTCAGGAGCAACATTCTCCTCCCCGTGCTATATAATTGCCATTTTAGTAGTATTTTTCTTTATTATTTGGCTATTCACAATGGGTGTCTAAACATTTACAGTCCTCTATTAACAGTGTTTCTTCCATAACAATCGCACACTTTCATTTCAATTAGAGCTATTCAGCCTGCAGTTTTTCCACAGTTCTCCCAGGCCAATTCCCCCCAGCCTGCTCCCTTTTCCCAGCGCTGTCTCTAACCATCCTGCCCTGCACCAGGCAGAGGGAAAACTCCAGCATCCCTCGCGGAGCCTCCGGCTTGGTTTTTAAACATCTCCCTTCCACCACGTAACGTGGAGCCCTGCTCGCTCCCAGTTTGCTGCTGACCTGCTTCCTTAAGCCTTCCAACTAATGGATATTTATTGTGGGAGAGGGTTTTGTTGTTGGTTTTTTTTTTTCCTGACAAATCCCACAGGGGGGGGACACATATGAAAGATTAACTCCGGGTACACTCGGATCGCCCTACGTTGGGACGAGCACATCAGCAGTGTATAAGAGACCTTCCATGGCTGAAAAGTGTGTGTGTGTGACCTTCCATGGCTGAAAAGTGTGTGTGTATGACCCTCCATGGCTGAAAAGTGTGTGTGTGTGTGTGTGTGTCTCTCTCTAACACAGAAGATTTAGCAGAAGCGACCGCGCAGGTTATGAGTTATATGGACTCCGAGTGTAATTTGTTATAACTTAAACACATATCAAGACCAACACATTAAGTACAGTTACTGCTCCTTTTGTTTATCCAGTGTCTTATTTTATGGTGCAGAACTAAACAGCGTCCGCTGGATTTAACTACGAAACCGGCCAAATTGATTTCAGAAAGACTTCTGCGGAGTAACAGAGTGATAAGGCATAAACTGCTCCTAGGTGCAGTGCTAGATAAATCCTTTTAACAGTCTTCAGATCAGTTAACAGGGTAAGTAAATCACATATCACTGTTAGCAGATTTATGGGAGAGAATTAATAGAATCAGACGAGATAATCTGGTAGGGATAAAATTGCTGAGGAAACAGTCCTGCCTTATATCGGAGGGTATGAAACAACAGCCTGATTACTGGGAGTCGTTATGGATTGGTGAATTATGAGCTAAATCATCATCAGAGTAATTCGGTATTTATTAATTCTTTTCTCTTTAAACAACTCACAGACGCAAATAAAAGCCTCTCTCTCTTTGAAGACACATTCTTTATATATTTTTATTGGATGTAATTTACTATTTGCATTACCTGTATTTACTTCATAATTGAACATTTTGCATTCAAATTTATGTAATGCATTATGCTTGAGAATATATTTCTCCCTTATTAGCATAAATAGTCACTTACCTCATGAATTACTAACAAAGTTTATCTGAAAATATAGGTATATTTTTTATTAAGTGGAACACAAACATATGCACAATAAATTCTGATTTGCCAGCAGTGTTACAGAAACACAGAACAACCCTGTGTCGGGGAAGAGGGGAAAGAAGCCGAGGCAAAGGAGGGGAATCAATTACTATGTGTGTGTAGATGTGACAATAATTTCTTCTGTCAATGTTCTGTTTATTTTTAATAAAGAATGAGTGACTCAAAGGTTTACTTTAGAAGGAGCAGATGAAAAGGGATCTCCACGGTGAATTTCTTCTCTCTGGTCCCCCCAGATGGAGTTGGCTGACGGGAGGCTGTGCCACTGCAGCCCTTGCTCCGGCAGAGTTCCTGCTGGCCCGGCACACACCACGGCCATACGCTGCTCAAACATTCCCTTTTCCCTTCCCCTTAATCCTGTTTTTATGCTTGGCTTTATATCCAAATCATCAATATAATTTACGGCTTTAAATCCAGATGATCAATGTAATTTACACCTACTTTGCAGCATTCAGGCAACTTTCCTTGTGCGGAGGAAAACCCCATCCCTACTGACCTCAAGGACTGCAGGACCGAATCCTGGGTCCCACCGAAACCGATGACAAAATTGCATTGATTTCAGCGAGAGCAGGACCAGGTCCTTGCTGTTAGCAATGTGTTTATGCGCTGCAAGAAATGAGAGAGGTCAGTGGATCTGCTGGCAGGAAACCAGGCCTGCTCCCCAAAATCCAAAGGCAAAATTCCCGGGTAACCTGTGGTGGATGGCCTTTACGCTGGGGTTTGGTCGCCGTGACGCCGCGTGCTAGGACGCCTGTGTATTTTGTCTGGATGCATAAAGCAAGTCCCTCCTGGGAGCATTCAGATGAGCACATCTATAAATGTAACGCAGCAAAATGAGCTGCTTTTGCCACTCTCGGTTTTCCCGAGCCTGGTACAATCCATTTCTGTGACGACAGTTTTCTGCCCCATACGCGGCTGATACTGCTCTTTTATTTTAAGGCTGAGAAAATCTTCCCTTTAAACTCACGCTGAGCATCAAATTGGACTCCACTTGCAGCTGAACATCTTGGCTGTCTCTTCCTTTTCCTCCATCAGCTCCGGTACATTTTATGTAGAACTCTCTCTGTTAATGAAACTTGCTTCTCCTCTCTCTTCACTTTCCCGTTTTGCATTAGTGTTACCAAATCCACCAGAGCTGCCGCCTCTCAAAACTGGGTAAAAGGAGAGAAAAAAAAAGTGTTTTCTTTCCCTATACAGTCTCCTGTTTGGGCAGTCTGCACAGACCCTAAATATACGACTTCTATTCATTTGTGTGTTAAGTTTCTATTGCTAAATTAGAAAAAAAGTAGTTTGAAGAGGCAGGATTAAACACACATCTTGGTTGCTTTTGTGTAGCATCCGAGGGGGTTGTGTTTTAGCTCTGGGAATTGGGAGGTATTATGAGCTGCTTTGATTTTATTCCCCTGGAAGTGCCTGAGAGTGACCGTACGGGAGAGGCAGCCTCACCTGAGTGCCCGAGTCGGCTCTGGGCACCCTGAGTCGGGAGGAAGGGCTGGCTTTTTAGCAGTCAGAATATTTTCACTGCTTGCTTCCGACGTGTAAAAATGCTAGAAATGTTCCAAATGACTTCCTACGATCTGGGGAGAATTTCTCTGTCTGAAGGGAAGACGGCACGGAGCTGCAACTGCAAAGCTGCAGGTGACGCTACGAGGTGGCTAAAGGTTGGTGTCACCAGATTTGTACAGTGCTTGCTTCATCATGCATGTCCTAGGTTACTAATTTTCATGAATGGCTTTGCCCAAATGTAAAAATCAATGAAGACGCGTTGATGCTAAAAAAAAAATATCTATTTATCTAAAAGAAATAAAAACTGAAATTGCAATAAAGATTTTTATCAAGCTTTACGGTGGAATTTATCATTTATAACCCGGGTGATCACGCTCAGTTATATAATGTGGCATTTGCTCTGAAATTAGCTGAAGCGGGTAAATAGAGAACCTGGTAAAAACTCGTGCACAAATTCACCTGAAAACTCTACAGAGGCAGAAAACTGATGTTAGTTAAGGCAAGAGAATAAAGCAATTACCCTGATGTTAAGTACCTGAGCTGTCCTGACAGTGCCCTGCGATATGCACACTGCGTTTGTGCCTGTTTTAGCTCAGAAAAATCACTGCTGCTTTTCTCCCGTCTGCTCTGCATTAAGTTGCTTCAACGGCAAGGAACAGTTGCGGTGGCAGCATGAAAAAATAAGTGATTTTTTATACACTCTTTCTTAAAAGTCACCCGTCAGGGAGCGGTGAGGAGGGCAGGATTCGGACGTGGTGTTTTGATGTGTAACCGTGAAAGCTGGGACGGTCTTTAAGAAAAGCTATAAACTTCAGTGCATTTTAAACAAATCTGTGATTTAACGTCTAGAAACGAGAGGTGGCACAGACATTAATTTTTTGGTGATAAAGTGGGCTGGGTGCGCTGGGCTGCGCGCCATGCTCCGGGGTTTATTCTGTGTAAACAGTCAAACGCGATAACCGCGGAAAATAACTGATGGGGGGCTTCAGCAACACAAGGTTCTTGGCTTAGATGACCTAAAAAGGTTCATTTACAAGGGAAGGAGGGCTGGCGTGGAGCCCTCCCTGGCTCTCACAGCTCTCTCTGCGGGGAGGGTGGCTGCAAAGGGAAGCCCATTCCAGCTTCTCCCCATGCCCTGCACTGCGGGAGGTGCCAGGGGAGGGAGATGAGGTGGAAAAGGCTCTGCAGGGCAGCAGGAAGGAGAGACACTTACACTAAAGGTAGTTGTGGGGGCTGATGACTGCAGCACAGATGAGAAGGGAGCTGGAGAGGACCTCTGCTCCTCTGCCTGTCCATCTCTGGAGGAGGTGGAGCGCTTGCCCACACGGCAGGGATGCCTCAGACGTGATGAGAGCTGTAGGATGAAAGGGTGGTTTGTGAGCACAACGTGTTATAAATCAAAACCCCAGATGAGCTGTACGTATGGGAGCACGTAAGGATCTTGCATTACCTCCAACCTTTAATTATCTGCCTGAATCTGGCCTAACCTGCTTATCTTCTGAGCGTTACTCATCGAGCTCTGGCAGGAGGAGGTGTCAATGAATACGGGACAGGTTTGGAGCCAACACCTTCACCGGTTAAAGTTGAGGCTTAATCATGGGCAGAAATGGGGGGGAATGGGGGTGTTCCCCCCTTCCCAGCCTGCCCCTCCATAATGGATCCAGCCAAAGTGAGCTACATCCCTTCCCAGCCTTTCCCCTCCCGTTCCCCAAATCCAACTGCCCAACTCTACCTGTGGTGATCGACGCCAGGTTTGCTTTCTGTGGCAGGAGCTTGGCTGCTGGAGCTGTCTTCTTGACTCTGGAGATACAGCAGCATCTGTCAGAAAAATCTATGTGAAAACAGCACCAGTGCCAGCAAATGGAAACTGTAGCTTTCCAATCAGCTACATTTGATTTGGTTTGATATATTTAACTTCTTTTTTTTTCTTTTTTTTTTTTTTTCTCCCGCTATTGGCAATTGTGTTATTCCACCACAGAAATGAAAACAACCTGCAATTTACTGGATTGCTTTATGGAGTCTTGGTGCAAAGAAGTGTATATCATGATGACATCTGATATCTTTCAGTGTCATTAATTGTCTTCACCAAGGAAAGGATGGAAAGTCTTATACCCCATTTTTTTTCCTCCTGCTCCATGGGGATTAGGTCACTGCCACGGGAGCGCTGGCCAGACCCGGTTCAGGTTTGTCTCCATCCGGAGTGTGGGTCACTCGGAAACTCTAATCCTTCACTAAAAGGAAATGATAAAAATACCCATGAAATTAATTTTCACACCTGCAGTTGGAATTAATAATGGCGAGCAGAGTGGCATCCTATTTCAGCTCCCTTGAGGTGACTAACAGTCCTGGTCATTAATATAATCCCAACCACCAGAGGAATTCACTGTCTGAGGGATCTACCATGAAAAACAAATGATCCCCAGAGCTATGCCTGCACAATGGAAAATGGCTTCAGTCATGTATTAGTCATTTTATCACAAGATTGTATTTTTGCACTGGGAGGTTTGCGCTCTGATATTAAAAGAGAACAGAACAGAACAACAGCATTTGACTTGGTAATTTGCACACAGGGTTTGATTATGTTTGAGCTTCCTCGCTTTAGAAGGATGTGTGTAAATGACTAAGAGCAATAAACGAAGTCTTCTAAGTGTGAGGCTTTCTCATGCAGAGTTCACATGCATTTATTACTGTCTGTGCTTAGCATCAGTCCTGCATATATCTGTGGATGATGCCTGTACATCATCTTGAGAAGGGAGTGGTCTATTGCTAAAACGCTGCTTGAATTTCCCCCCGATTCTGCTTTTCTCCCTTAATTGCAAGGGATGAAATGTGTCAAGTGTCTGCTTCACTCGGCTGGGAATCACGGTACTGCCACTGCAATTTCCCAGCCTTCAAAGATGACATGCAGCTAGCAAACTATAAAGCTAAGCGACTGCACGGTGGCTCTGAACTGCCTTCAAAAGGCATTTGCTTCCAGCGGTGGAGCAGCATTAGTACTTCAAGCAGGGTGCAGAATAGGTGGGCACTTGAGTCCTTTTGCAGAACCGTCTTTCAGAAGGGATTTCTCTAATTATGTTTATTTAATCCTGCCCTAATGGCCACACGCGACAGTCTACGAGAGCCTGAAATGTAACTACCAATTTCAGCTTTATTCTCCTCTGCTCTCAAGATCAGCTTGGCTCGTGACAAGCTAAAAGCTCTTGCCCCTGCCCCAGGAGCCATCCACATTTCTACAACTACTCGTATTCATAACGGAAAGAAGGTCGCCTTGCCTTTTCCCAGGCTATACAGCCTGAGTTGTTCTGTTTTTTTTTTAAGACAATACACACCTATCACACACTCACTGCGCTTATTGTTTTGGGGGAAACAGCAATAACCTCATGATGCTGCTGGAGGGGTCTTTCCACACCTGAAGTTGTTTGGTTCTGTATTTAATATGTGGTACAAAGGGGCTTAAAGGTCTTTAGCAGTGGAGGATCTTATTTATTTGCGCAGCACAGGAATTAAACTGAGTGAGCGAGCAGGAGATACAGACTTGTCTCCCTGTAATTTGTACAGAGATTTCAGTCACAGCTTTTTCCTCTCCCTTTAGAGCATTTACTAGGATCAGTTACCGTGAATGTAGCCTGTGTTATTCCCTGTGGAGTAGGAGACAGGTAGGGCAGTTTCTCTCTTTATTCTTTCTGTCCCCTCTACAGATTTACACCTTTTATAGCTGTTAAGGTAACTACCGAACTACTTAGAGACTGGCTAGCACTTTCTGGTGTTAGTTTAGCCCCAGCAGGTTTAGATTCCATCCCCTGCAGTCTCTTCTAACAGGGATTTATTTTTTTATCTACCTGAAATTCAAGGTTCAGCCTAAAGTTGATTCCAGCAGCACTTGGCTGTGTCCTTTTCCAAGTGATGATCCAAAACTCAAGTGCTAGGAGCCACCAGTAAGAGGGGTGATATACCATAAGGTTTCTATAGTTTTCCAGACGACTCAAATAGCCCACTATTGGTAAATCTACCCTTGCAAATTTAAAGGAAAGATATCCATCACGCCGCATCATTCTGCAAGTACAGCTGGGAATGCAAGGCTGACTGTGGCTGGATGGGCACTGTCTCATGAAGAATGGGGATACCAACACCTTCCTATCACCAAAACTCAACAGGTCAGTGAAAAAAGGTGCACTTAACTCCACAAAGGTCACCCAGTGCCTTGAGTTGTATGGGTCAAGCTACCACACGTGAACCCTGATGTCTGGTCACTCCACTGCTACATAACATTCCTGGTATTGAAAAAAAAAATAAAAAATTGCACCACCACCATGTCAACTCACTCCAGCAGTTGCCAGCTGCGAAGATTAATTTTTAACCTCCTTTTCATTTTCCAGGGCTAAGGCAGATGAGTAAACACTTCACGGCAAGCCTCAGCTGGGCACACTGTTGTTAGATCAGTGGAGGTGACAGTTCCTGTGGGTCTGTCCTTTCATTTCCCCAGAGCACCCTTCTTCAGAGAGGATTTTTTTCTGTGTAGAAATCTCATTCTGACTGCAAGCCAGCAACCCAGCGTGAATTCCTGCCATGCCTATTTGCAGCAAAGGTGCTGCAAAGCTGCAGTCCCCGGAGCGGGGCAGGGCTGCTACAGGATTTCCTCCTGGAAAAAAAAAAAAAAAAAAAAAAAAAAGTAGTTCAGTTTTAGGCTTCTTGTGGCTTCTCTGAAAGATAACTAAACTTTACATACATCGCTATCTGCACCTTGATCTTGGGGTCAGAAGTACAAGCATGTAAAGAGTCTGCGTAAGGGGGAATGACTCGTAACCCCCCGCTTCGTTATCTTCCCTATTGCCTGCTCTTAACAATACCCAGGTTTGGAGACAATTGTCCTCCTTTAGACCCCGATGGCAGCTGGCAGGATTAGAAGCAGGGCTTCCAATCAGCAGCAGTAGCTTCTTCATCACTTTAAACGTAAAAACGTGGATCAAGCCTAACGTGATTTAATTTCCTGAAGGGTAGTCCCGCAAACCCAGGCTGGGACTCTAAACGCCCCTAACACTGCCACCCAGACTGAAAGTCTGATGACTAGAAGTTAGCAGATAACTATCTTTTATTAGTGAGCAGATAACTATTTATTGATGCTACACAAGAGTTTTGTCTCAGCTCGGGCTGAATAAAAGCAGAGGATTTTTTTTTTTTTTTTTCAGCGTTTGGCCCTTCATTTGGGAATTTCAACTAATAACTCTCTGTCCTTCCTCTGTTTCGCAAGTCCCCTAACTAATATGCTGGGATGTGTGAAAATATTGCTGTGACTCATAACCAGAGCTGCAAAGACCAAATCCAAACTTCTTCAGAGGCTTGGAGTGGTTGGGGTAAGGGCAAAATTACAAAAATAAAGACAGCAAGATGTGTGAGACTTGCTCTGAGGAAGGAACGGCCACAGCATATCAATGCTCTCCAGCATCAGCAGCCAGGTAGGAGGAAACAAGCACAAGAGAAGTGCTTGATATATCAGTCCTTCTGGCTAGGAGCAATTTTCATCACCATGCTTGCAAATTAATAGGATATCAAAATCATATCGCAATATAAAATATCCTGGATGTGTGCAGCTCTTGGTATTACCAGAAAACCTAGCAGAAAGCTCAGGGATGGGACACCAGTTGGGTGAGCAGGCCGCAGGGCAACACTAAGAGGAAAGGAATGGTTCCTGGGACTTCATTTAACCTCATTTTAGGTATTCTTTCCTCACAGTGTTGTCTGATTCCCTTTGGCTATCAATCCCACATAAACCATATGCTGCCACAGAAGTTTAACGAAGCTTTGCCATCAGGACAAAATACCTCCCGTCCGAAGTCCCTCCTGCACGGTGGGAGAACAGCAGCAGCTCTCCTTCCACGCGTGTCCAGTCACGTGCAATTTGAGGACTTGGTGGTTAGCAGAACATTTGGCAATGCAGAACAATTAAAGGCATTCCCACCGCAGCTGAGCGTGGCTCCTTTGCGAGCAGCGTGCGGTGAATGTTGTGTCAAGGCTGTGATGATCTGACGGTTTCAGGAATAAACCTTTCAAAGAAGAGAAGACATTGATACGAAATTGAGGTGCCACAGAAAAGGCCAGATGTTCAACTTTTAGGTCTTTATAGGGCATGCAAATTTTTTCTCACGACTGAATGTGCATATTACCCATTGATGTGATCACTTATGCATCCAGCTCATCATCTGAATAGGCAAATATCTTATCTTCTGCAGCAACCATACTCGGAATTTAATGCAAAATTCATTCTTTTTGAAAATCAGTCCCCTAGAACACAATGGTAAATCATGCACGATGAAGTAATATGAAGAGAAATGCTGCACCCTTCTTCTGAGGTCTTTATTTCTTTTCTCTAGAAAAACGGCTCCACCTTCATGCTGAAAGCCACAATTATTATTTCTTCATATTCACACAGTGTTACTGCTCAGTGGCTCACATCATTGATTGGGCTCCATTATGCTAAATTCTAGAATGCCCAAAGAGCTAAATATAAAGCAGGAGACAACAGATACAAAAATAGCCGTGGACCGCAAGGTAACCATGAGCCATGGCAACACCCCACCATCAATTTGTCTTCCCAGGCACAGTTAGGAGGATCTGGGGTGAGTCAGTACGTGACCGGAGATCACAAAGGATGAAGAGTTTGTGGTGGTTCTCACATCACTGAATTACCACCATTAAAATAATTATCCTGTCTTGCCTTAGACAACACGGCATCTTTCACGTAACCCGTGACTGAAGGACATGCAAAAATGAGGGTTCTGGTCCCTATCGATGAAATGACTTCTTTTTCTTTCTTTTTTCTTCTTTT